GGTGTACACGCTCTGAGATGCCGTTGTTCACATGAATGGATAGTTGATAGTCCTGGTGTACACACTCTGAGATGCCGTTGTTCACATGAATGGATAGTAGTGCCCTCTCTTTAGCTTCTGCTTAAGTTACACCTGGGAGCCATCCTGACTAGGACCCTCCCCCAGCTGTCTTTGGACAGCCTCTGGCCTGTGTTTGTTTCCCCATCAGGGAGGACACCCTTGTGGGCTGGGGTCCTGGAAACTCCCTCTGCCTCACCAACCAGTGAGAAAGTCTAATTCCCCAAAGTAGATTTTTCTGTTCCTAATTGATTATCGAAGGTATTTTTGATCAACCCAAAATGAAGTTTTCCAACTAAACCAAAAGGAGTGTCTGTGCTTTTAATGTGACAAATGTCCTGTTACAAAGGGCAGCAGCAGCAGGGACATGTGGTCCTCCAGGGACAGGCTAGAAAGTCTCTCAGATGAGCATCACATATGACGGTAAGTTCTCAGAACGCTGCAGAAGTTGTGGTCAGTGTAAACACAACGGATGTTTCTAATTTGAGAATGTCTGCCTTGCTATCCTGTAAAGGACAAGTCTACTTTAGATACATACATCATGCTCTACAACATACATCATGCTCTGCATACGTAATCATGCTCTACATATGTATATCATACTCTACATATGTTCACTACACTCTATGTACACCATACTCTACATATGTACATAATGCTCTATATACATACGTCATGCTCTGCATACAAACATCATGCTCATACATATATCATGTTCTGAATATATACATGATGCTCTGAATATGTACATCATGGTCAACATACATTTTGCTCTACATACATACATCATGCTCTGCATACAAACATCATGCTCAATCGAATGTTTTCTCACCCAGCCAGTACTCAGAGAATGATGAGAACTACGTGGAAGTGTCACTGATTTTTGATCCAGTCACAAGAGAGGATCTGAATACAGATTTTAAATGTGTTGCCACGAATCCACGGAGTTTTCAGTCGCTCCACACCACAGTCAAAGAAGGTATGTATGGGGCGGGGTGGTGGGGACACTGAAAGGAAAATGAACTTGAGTGCTTTCTGGATGCTGGATGGAAGCATGCTTTGTTTAGATGTCTCCTTGTAGGGCATTGAAAGCAAAACGCAAATCATGTGTGGGAGTGTGTGTGTGTGTATTATACATACATGTTCGCATGTGTGTTGTACATACATGTTCGCATGTGTGTTGTACATACATGTTCACATGTGTATATGTGTGTGTGCACAGGTGTGCAGATGAATATAGGGGCCATAAGTGGATGTTGGACGTCTTCCACAATTGCTCTCAACCTTATACTTTTTGAGAAAGTCTCCCACTGAATGTAGAGCACATTGGATTGGCCAGACTGGCCAGCCAATACGCCCGGGGATCTGTCCATCTCTACCCCAGAGTTCAGGTGATAAATGTGTGCACCTGGCTTTTATGTGGCTACTGGGAACTCAAACTGAGGTTCTCATGTTTGTACATCACACACTGCACAGACTGAGATATTTCCCCAGCCTCCCCCCTCTTCTTTCAGGATGAATGTGGTGTATGTGCACATACGTATGTGTATTCATATGCATGCATGTTCAGTGACCCCCTCCTTCTCTCTCATCTCTCTCTCTCTCTCTCTCTCTCTCTCTCTCTCTATATATATATATATATATATATATATATATATATATATATATATATAGTCTTCCTCAATTACTTAGGCAGGGTCTCTCACTCTAACCCAGAGCTCACTGACTGTATTAGTCTAGCTACAACCATCTCCAGAGTTCCCTGTTTCTGTCTTCTGGGTGCTGGGCTTACAAGCAGGCTGTCACATACACCTTGCATATATTAGGTGCTGGGGATTTCCAGTCTGGTCCCCATGCTTGTGCAGGTAAATACTTCATCTACTGAGCCACTTCCCTGCTCCACAAACCTCTGCTTTAAAAAGAATTGTCAGTGAGGTGGACATGTGGCATTGGGCAATTATACTCAGATAAAAATAAAAACTAAGTTGGAATAATTTTTAGTAAACATAAAAACATGCAATGAACAGAACACCCTGTGTCCTTCTGGGGCTCTGCCTCGGAGTACCAGGCTCCGATGACCTCATCGGGTCTCTAGAAGGTGGTGTATCACTCCTTATCTTGAACATGAAGTTGAAAATCTCTATCCTGCTTTGTGTGGACCAAGATTTCAGGGCAGCAGTCAGCTGTAAAGTCCAAGCCATCAGATGGCAGGAAATAAGTATCATGTACAAGGACAGTTCAAAAAGAAAAAAAAAACCCAACAATTAAATCTTATTCTTTAAATGTTGAACAGGAAAGTGAGGTGCAGGTAATACAGTTTCTGTTAACAGAGCACAGATACAATCACTTACAGGCCACAGTGACTCTAGAGATGAGTCCGAATGCAGCTATGGATCAGGAGTCAGCAAGATGCCTTTGGTCCATAATAGTTTGCACATCCAGGAAGGCAGCGGTAGGCTTATCTTAAATTAGGAAGATGATTTGGCCAAACCTCAGAATGGCAATGGATACCAAGTACATCTCCATCTTAGCTCTGTACCCTCCCAGCACCCGCCTACCCAAGCCTCTACTAGACCATAGGCACATCTCTTATCTCATCCAGCAACCTCCACACAAGTTCTCCTGAGCATCTCCAGACTGCAATTGCCCTGGCTCCTTCCAGACTGAAGTTTAACAACCAGGGCTTATGTATCTGGGGTGATGTCTCAGTACATCTCAGTGCCATTCAAGCTAGGACGGCGCTGGTGAGTTGGGAGCTGTGTAGATTCCAAAGTCAGAGTCCCACAGACAGCAGCTTCCCTGTCCAGGGATCAGCTTAACCAAGGAATGTGGGCTTTTTGTGGGCCCTGCACTGCAGTCTCTTACATGTTGGATCACCAGGCTCTAGCTTAGTGGGTGTGTCCCTGGGGAAGCTGTGGCTGCTTTCCAAGGCACATTAGGATCAAGAGGTAAGTGCCACTTGTTTTTGAGGAAATTACAGTTTCATATATTGTTCATCCAAGTGGAATGGTAAGATAGCGTGTGAATTCTCCATAGACCCAGCCTGAGATCTTCTTAATTTCTGTAAGGCATGCCAAATGATAGCTTCAAATGTGTACTCTGATACTTGGGAGAAAGCACTTCAACAGGTAAAGTGGACCTGAGTTCAGATGCCAGACACCAATTTAAAGAGCTGGTAATGGTAACATATACCTGCAATCACATGCTGAGAAGAGACATAAGATACAGACACACACACACATACACACAGACATACATAGAGAGACACACAGACATATACACATACACAGATACAAACACATACACACAAACATATTCATACACAGAGAGATACATATACATATACACATACACACACAAACACAATCACACAGACATGTACGCACAGACACAGATAGACATACTTATACAGACATACATACACAGACACAGACACACAGAAACACACTCATACACACACAGAGAGACACACACAGATTCACATACACAGAGACATACATAGACACACACAGACATACACACAGACACAGAGACACACACAGACACACATACAAACAGAGACACATACAGACACAGAGACACACAGACACAGATACACAGACACACATAGTCACATACACATAAACACAAACACACAGACACACACATGCTCACAGACATACACAGACACACACACAGACATACACAGACACACAGACACACACATACAAACATATACACGTCTACCTCACAATACCCACATATACCCACCTCCAATGACCCTACAATCTCCCCCACATCCACATCTACTCCAATGTATGCCCACATACTTGCACCCATGCACATACCTTACAACCAACATACTTACACATGCACATGTGCACATACATGTGTGTACATGTGTGTGCATGTGCACACACACACACAGGGGTGTATGAATATTCCTCTAACACAATGTGAAATTTTACATACCTATAACCCTAGTCTTTAATCTGAAGCATGGGGGAATCAAAAGTTTGAGGTCCTCCTGAACTACATGGCCAGATCCTATCTATATAAAAAAAAGTGGAATTCTGGTCTCATAAACATGATATCTAATGACACTGTTCTCATATTTACTTTTAAATATTGTAATCACAATCTCTTTTTGTATTTCCATAACAGAGATGTCTAGGAACCAAACATACAATAGCTAGATCAAAGAAATAGCCTTGGCATCCAAGATCCTTAACCCGTACTTTCTCTTCTTTGCTTCTATTTGCTATTCTATCCTTTTGACACCTGTGATCACTGGCAAGACTCAGGTTGTCCCTAGAATGTCACCAACAGCTGGCAGAGACAAAGGCAGGTGCCTCTCACACGCACTGCCCACAGATGATACAGCCCCTTCTGTTCCTTACTTTGATGTTCTTTAATCAGATTTTCCCCTGACTTGCTTGCTCTTAGATGTCACAGGTATCATCCTCCAATGGTTTCGTTGTAATAGACAAGCTTTCCAGAAATCAGTGCACATTTATCAGGGAAAACAAACTCTGATGGTTTTCTTCCATGTCAACCTATGCTGCTCTGTTCTGTATCAAGAGATACTCCCTCTCACGCCTCTCTTTCCTCGACAGTCCCTTCCACGTTCTCCTGGGGCATTGCGCTGGCACCTCTGTCTCTTATCATCTTGGTTGTGGGAGCGATATGGATGCGGAGACGGTGTAAACGCAGGGCTGGAAAAACATACGGGCTGACCAAGCTACGGACTGACAACCAGCACTTCCCTTCCAGCCCAAACCAAATAAAGGAAGTGAAATAATAAGAGGCTGACCCATGTGGTTTCTTACGGGGGTGGCTGTGGCGTTTGGAGGTTCTGTGTTTTGCTCTGTTGTTTAGCAAAGCTCCTTGTTTGTAGCTGAAACTGGAATCTTACACTCTACTCTTCTCGGAAAATTAGTTCTAGGAGCAGATGTGCAGGGGAGTATGAACAACCTGTGTATGAAACCCATGTATGAGAACAAGCCACGGTGGCCATAGAGGGCGCGTGGAGCAGGTGTCCTCAGGGTTTGATCCTTAAGTACAGTAATGTCCCACCTCACCCCTCCCAAACAACCACTAAAACATGGTACCATTAGTATTGAGTAAGACTGTTAACCTCCAGAGTACTTTAAAAGTTCATAACTCTTTCAATTAAAGTGTGTTAACTTACGTAATTAGTCTGTATGGTTAGGGTGATGGGAGACACCGGAGGTACAAAGATGGAGAGGGAGAGGGTATGGGAGATGATGAAGGTACAATGCACTTGTATTTTGAAATCATCAAAAAAAATTGTAAAAACACAAAAGAACAACAAAATGTAGCTCATTTAAAAAAAAATTAAGACACATTGTGCCTTTAGAAAGGGCTATTTTCATTTTGATTCTGGAAGGATGATTAAGAAATATGGAACCAGAAGAATCAGCAAGGATTAGTGATTCAAAAATTAGCGGTCATCTTTTTGTAGCGTATGGCAACCGTCACAGGAATCCTCAACTGGTCAAAACTGCAGAGAGCAATTGCCTGTAGGATGTCCATCCCCAACTAAGGCATCTACAGCACAGCTCCTCTACCTATGGCTCGAGGACCGTCTCAGAGGGATCGTAAAGGTCAAAGAGCCAGAAGTGCAGGGTCCATCTGGTGCGAGACAGTGTCTTCTGTACGTGACAAAGAATTGCATATTCAAAATGTCAACAATATGGCCTTCTAAACAAGACCCTAACCGTGACAACACCAGTTCATTGGGGAAACTTCACAGATCCCTATTCCTAGATAAAGGCGTAATTAGTGGGCGTGGAGGAAGGGAGAATCAATTCTCTGCGTGGGTGAGCCCCCACTAGCTTACTCAATTCCAAGTGGTCAGCTCTGAAAACACAGACACACAGATACACATACACACACACACATGCGCACATATACACACACATATATACATACATGTGCATATATATGCAACACTGAATGGACTCAGCAGGTTATTATATGCACACAAATAAGATAATAAAGTTTAGATCCTGATTGAGAAGGAGTTGGGGGTATAGATGGAATTGAATGGGGGAGAGGGTATGGGAGATGATGAAGATACAATATTCATGTATGAAATCATCAAAAAATTGTAAAAACACAAAAGAACAACAAAACGTAGCTCATTTAAAAAAAATTCACTATTTTTCCACTGACAATGGAGTAGTTTAAACTTTAAATAAGTTACTTAGCTCAGAGGCGTCATTCCTAGTATGCTTTGTTACTGTCTTAGTTTGCTCTCTGTTGCTATGAAAAACCCCAATGGCCAAAAGCAACTTGAGAGAGAAAGGGTTGATTCAGTGTGCAGGTTTTAGTATGTCATTCGGGAAGCCAATGCAAGGTTCAAATGAGTCAAGGACCGTGGAAGAATGCTTTTTATTGGTTTTCACATTGGGGTCACATGTAGCTAGCTTTCTTATACCTCCAAGGACCTCTTGCCTAAGGATGGTGCTGCCCACAGTGGGCTGGGTTCTTCTACATCAATCATTAATCAAGACAATTTGCCTGCAGGTCATTCTGATGGAGGCATATTTTAGTAGAGGTTCTTCTTCCCGAATAACTCTCTAGCTTGTATCAAGTTGACAAAATCTAACCAGGACAGCTACTGTAACAAATTACCATAAATGGGGGAGGCTTAAACAATGGGAATTCCTTTCTTACAGTTCTGGAAGGTCAGAGTTCAAGATCATGATTGGTGCTTCTTCCTAGCTTGCTGGGAGCTACCCTACAGGACAATTTTCTTCAGTGACCCCACCTCTCAGTGCCATTCTGTTGAGAGTTAAAATTTCAACCTAGCGATGTTAGGAAGACATAGTGTAACAGCACCCACACCCTTGTCAATATGAGAACACGGGTAGGAGGTGAAGGCAAAATGAATGTGTCAGTGAAGTTACCTACATGCTCATGCTGTGTCCTATGTTAATGAGTAAGATCAAGGGTGTTTGGAAGCCTGGACTCCTATATCCCACAGTTCCTTTTGTAATTTGTTAATAGGAAAAAGGCCATAAGAGATACTGAGGTCAATTTGAACATGTCCCCAGGGACCAAGTATCTCTTAGCTTTTCTGCTCAGTGAGCCAGGCCAGTGATCTAGAGCCATTATGATTTTATTTCACCATAAATAATGGCAAGTGCCACAGATGAGTAGTTCTCCAGCTTCCCAGCTGCAGACAGGATTAAGCAAGACCAAAGGGGTGCTGTCGTGCTGCCCCTAGCAACCTACCTTAGGCAATCCTTTGGAAAGGAAAATGGTTACAGAGATACAATCTAGATAAAAATATACATCAATTTTCAGTTATGGTTGCCCCTATTGTGAGTCAAAGAGGAAAGTTATAAAGTGTTTTGTATGAGCCGTAGAATTCTGTTACTAGTGGTCAGAATCTGGATCGCTTCCAGGTTCTTGGCCTCTTAGTTAAAGATCTACATAGTGATTTGAAAAAGTAGCCAGGAAGCTTTATTCAAAGCAGACTCGTAGCGCAGGTTAGCACCATGTCAAGTCGGGCCATGGTAACATATGAGCAAAGTATTTAAAGGCCTGACAATTTTTCCAGCGTTTTCTTGAATGAGATTCAAATGAAGGGGAAGTTTGGTTAGGGCGTAGTTGGAGGGAGTCTCTGTTTTGATTGGTTGATTATGCTACATAATAATTTTCCTTGATGTGCCCCTTTCCATAAGGTATCTGATTATAATCATATGCACACACAATTATGCGTATGCATAGATGATAAACAGAGAATCCTTCTCGGGAACTCACTTAGGGACACAGTTTTGCATTGTTGCAAAACCAATCCAAAAAGCAATCTAGACAGGGGTGGCCCTCTACCTCCATACCTATGCGTAAACTGAGCATGACTGGATAGATTCTAAGTTTGATGGTTCATCATGAGAAGGGTGAACACTCTGCATTGTTCAGAGTGGGGTGTATGCTCAGCTTGATTTGGGGTCCTAGGTTGCTGAGGGGTTGCTAGCAGCATTGTTTGGAATTGGGTGTGGGCATAGGCCTAGCCAAGTGGAACCCCAGGTGACTAAGCTGTTTTCTATGCTCGACTGCCTTGGTTACAATGCTACTAAACTGCATCTGGATAGAGATGAAAGTTGGAAATAAGGAACTGAAAGAGCTCTCTGGGCTCAAGTTCCAACAGTGGCTTGTGTTAGCTTTGTGATCTTGGGCAAATCCTTTAACCTTGCAGGCTACCAATTTCCTCACTAGAAATGTTGGGATGATAACAGAAAGCTATTTAGCTATAGTTTGTAAATTTATACCTTTCCTTTCTTTTAAAGAATTAAAAGACAAAACCAGGAAGCCTCGATAGATATCAAAATGGCGGTTCCTCATAGGCTACTACATACAAACCACAGCTTGCCAGCAGCTCCAATCTGCTGCTGGCGTCTGTACACTACCTGCCATCAGAATGTACATGCCCGCATGTTTGTGGGTTGATATTGGCTGTCTTTTCTCTTTGCAGATAGAGTAGCTGAAAGGCCTGAAACATTTACCATCTGGCTCTTCACAGAGAGTTGTACAGCCCCTGATTTGGACCAAGGAAAACCAGGGCTGGTTTTGACTTTTATTTTGACATTTCCCTGTTGTCTCCTCTTGTCCTATCTACCTGCATTTTAATTGTTTGAGAGGGAGAAATAACTAGTAAGAGGAAACAGGGGCTTTTGAACATCTAGGCTTTACCTACGAGAGCACATAGCTCAAGTTGGAAGGACCAGGCAGGGCATCACAGGCTGCAGGGGCAGCAGGAGCTTGAGTGTTCTGCACCCTCCATTAGTCTCCACAGCTCCTGGAGTCCACATCTGTAGATTTTGGCAGCTTCAGCAATGATCCCAGAAAAGTCTGGTCCTGACTGTGACCGGAAGAAATGGCTTTCAACTCCTTAGATTCACCCCGTCTGCAGCTTGAACGTACTGCCTTCAAAAGATGTCTCTGAAACGTTAGATTGGAGACAGGGATTCCAAGCAGCTTCTATCCATGTCAAAGAAAAAGCATGCTGGGATCAGTAAATTAAAAGAAAAAAAAAAGAGCTGTTATCTTTCTAAAAGACACACTGGATTATATAAGGGAGTATTTTAGGTGGAAGAATAAAAGAAATACGATTGGCCATGTTTTGACAATTTTTGTCACCAGTGACAATTCCCCTGGGCTTCTGGTTTATTCTTATATATGTTTGAAAATTTCCACACTGGAGAATAAAATACAAGGCAGAACCAAGCCAGGTGTCTACTAGTCAAGGAATGGGTGTGCAAACTGCAGAATGGAACATGGTGGGCATACACAATGTGAGAATAAAGAATTCATTGCCATAAATAAATTGAGTCTTAGAAGTATGTTAATGAGTGAGTCAGGAAGCATTTACTCTTGGTGTGCTACCCTTGTAGGGAGAGTTGGAACAATGACATTGGACAACTCTGTGCTCTATCTACTTTCTCTTTCTCTGTTTGTATACATGCACAATATGAGATTAGAGTATGGTTTAGTCACAAATATATTCCTTAAGTACAAAATGATCACTTCAGGCATCAAGTCCGGGACATTGGTGGAAAAAGAGGAAGATGTCAGATCCACTAAATCCTCATTCTCATGTTGGATAGTGGACTGTTATTGCTTGACCTATTATCAGATAAGCAAATTACAAACCAGGCCACCCAGGGACCAATGAATAGTGTGTGTGGTAGACAGAGGATCATGACCCACACAGGTTCATGCACTTGAGTCCAAGTGAAATAACCAGGAAGTTGATTTCTTTATGTGGTTGAT